GCCTGCGTCGTGGTTGTTGAGAGAGATGAGGCTACCTATTCTTCATTTTGTGGTTAGTTCGAAGACAGGAGCTGGTCTTTCAGGCGCTATATTTCAGGAATTGGTTGACATGACAGAAAGTACAAAGCAAAGACAGACACAGTTTAGCAGCCTTCTGATTTCAGTGACTCTACCTCTCATTTCAAGAGTTAAAGGTCCAGTGTCTGTACCATTTACGCGAGGACTGTATGCAAATGACTCACTTACTCACCTAGTTGCTGTCATTAGGTGGCTCATATCGCTGAAAATACAATTGCTGTGTGATTAACCTTAAGAATGAGCTGTTGTTATACAGCAGAGGGGCGGGTCTTCTAAGAGTCTGCAGTGTTACCTGCCACATTTTTTTTTCGTGTTTTACTTTCTACAGAGCCCAGAATGAAAACCAAAACTTGAAACACTTGCTCTAGATAAGGCCTGTGTTTCGTGACCACCGTAGTTCCTCCTACACGCCTGGAAAGCAAACGGTATTCTGTTGGTTGTAATCTGCAACTGCACCGCTAGATGCCACTAAATTCTACACACTGGTCCTTTAAAACCAGTGTGTGACTGCGTATAACCTGCCCCACACCTTTCTGTGGAACTGTCAAGATGTCAAAGCCTTCACACACACACACACACATATTATAATGCAATAAAAAAAATAATTAACTTGCAACTTGCTCTTGTAATGCTCTAGTTACTCTAGTATGTTGGCACTGGGTGTGTGAACATCATAACCATGAAAGTGAGCAAACTGCCTTGAACATTTTGTCCAATGTTGAGCAAAGTACTGTTTGCAAGTAACTAGTACTACTGCAAAATGTTTGGGGATCTTTGCAGGAATTGGTTTAAAGAAAAAGTTTTAAAGAGAATCAAACACAAAATGACAACAGTGTTAGATCTTTGAATGGGCTGTTGGGTTTATTTATTCCGCTTATCACCTTGGCAGGTAACAGGAGTTTTGTTTGTGACTAAAAAAAAATAATGAAAGCTGTTAAGCAATTTTTGAATTTGTCTGGTGGGTAAAGCAAATTGCTTTCCCTCATCAACTGGAACACCAGATAGTGTGATGAGCAGTGAATTTAATTTGCCTTTTATGAATTACTCTCACAACCTCGGCCACAGACTTCACTTTGTTCTCTTATTGATTGACATTTCAACTATTCAACCACCTTCTCTGCGCTGACATTAAATCCTAGAGCTACAGTACCCATCGCATACGCACTCCTATTGGCACACATAACATACAAGTGCTCTAAATAATTCAAGGGAGATAGTAAAAAGCAAGTTCCGCTTGACTGACAAATTGGAGACAGCAAGGCATTAAATATGAATGTCTTTCTCCATACATTACATGACATTTCCTGTCTGGATGCTGCTGGTCAGACTCAGGAGCGACACACAGCAGGGAATTGTCCACTGGCTGCTCAGATACTGAATATAGACCAGTTCATCATTAGAGGAAGCCGAGTTCAGTCGGTGCATTTGGGTTCAATACTGCTGCAGAGCTTTGTGGACTCTAGCACACCCATTTTCTTAAATCTGCTTTCCAGTTTAATATCTGGTGTAAGAGAAAAATAACCTCACCTATGTAAGTGTGTATCAGCATAGTGCTTGTGCGGAGTGTTTAGACTGTTACTCAACGTGAGTTTTACTTGACGTGTTATCGTGTGTTGTGGCTGTTTCTCTCACCTGCTCTGGTTAAAGGTGTGTATCTTGACACGGTGGTGCGTGTACTTCTGCAGGATCTTCTTCGTGTCTTCATCTGTGTTGAAGGAGTTCATGAGGACCAGGGGCACATCTGTGTTGTAAGTCTTGTTCAAGTGCTGTGGGACGTTAAAAGAACACACACAAACTGTTAAAATGCCTTCAATCTTTGGTATAATTTATTCAAGGAGGACTGACTGAGCAAATTGGGCAAAATGCAAATTGATTGAAATGTCAAACATTGACGACTATGCATGAGCACCAGAGAGGCCCTGCCTGTTGTAGGCCTAATGCGCCGACCCCTGTCGGTTTTAGGCTGACCGCTGTAGGTAAGCCACTACAGGGAAAATATTCTTACAACAAATGGCACAAGTTCCTAAAAACTTCACATGGTTTGCTTTGAATTTCCCAAACACACCCCACAGAGCAATGTGTGTATCTCATTGTTCACTTTTATGAATCTTGTGAAATATTTATTATCTTGAGAAATCAGCCTTTTGTTTTTGAGATAACAAGATAAAATAACCCATTATCACGAGATAACGAAATTATTTTCTTGTGATCTTGAGATAAATATCAGTATGTGTATGCATATGTATGTTTGTATCTGTAGGTAGGTAGCTGGTATATGTATTTAAATGTACATGCAGGTGTATGTACAGTATCTGTGCTAGTGTAAGAATGTCAGTTCTTTTTTTTCCTTTCCATTCGTGTATATACAGATACTTTCTGTGTTTCTTTATATTGCTAAATATATGCTTGAGAGTCTGTCTTTGAATACAAATTTGAAAGTTATAGCAGTTACATTTGATTTGATGACACTACAGCGACTTACACTGAGTGCAACAACGAAAAACACTTGAATTCTTGGATCAGCAGCCCAAGAGAAAGTGTTGTTTCTGTATCTTCATTGAGTGATTGGAGTGAATACAAAGGAAGGGAGTAACACCTGGGGAGAGATGGAAGCAATTTCTACAAAGATAAGAGAAAATTAAAGTGAGTAGAGGAGGAAGATGAGAAATAGGATATGAATCAGTGGGGAGAAGTTGACGTGAGGACGATGTTAAAGAGTTGAATTTCCAGCCTGTGACAGAGAACTAGGAATGATTCATCTCAACTGAGAACATCTTCTTGCCTTTAATAAACCGGATGGCTGTTGGCTGGCCGTTCGCTTTACATAAATAAACACTGACCTCTCATTTGCAAGTGTGAGACTGCGTACAACTTTCCTAAACTGTCATGACACTTCAGGATGTTAAAGCCCTCACATATATCATAATTCAATGCAAACAAACTGCAAACTATTAACTCACAACTTGCTTGCTATGATGTTGACAGTGGGTGTGTGGGGAGGCAGCAAAGATGATGACGATGACCATGAAAGTAAGCAAACCGCCTTGAAAACATTTAGCGCAGTGTTGAGCAAACAGTTCATGTTATTGCCCAAGATACACGAGCAATCTTAAAGCCCCTTTGTGTTGAATTTGTTTGCTGCAGATCTTTTTTTAAACAATTGCTATGGGATGGGAAGGTTACAAACGAGAGGACTAGGAGGAGATCTTTTTCAGGCATTTATTTATTTTTATAGTGGTAGTAAAAATATAGAGAGGGAATGTAGTAAGCAAGAGAAGGGTGTACGGTATGCAACAAGCTGGGAATCGAACCGTTTTCTCAATTTAAAAAAAATATCTTTTGGTATATAAATTGTCAGTGAATAGGGAATAATGAAACATTTTCCCGAAGCCAAATGTGACTTCTTGAAATGTCTTGTTTTGTCTGACCAGCAGTCCAAAACCAAAATATATTATGAGAAAGAAAACCAGCAAAATATTCACATTTGTTAAGCCACAGCCAGTGAATTCTTAAAATTTTTGCTTTAAAGAAAATTACAAAAACAACTGATTTATTATCAAAATTACCACCAACTAATTTTCATTTCAACAAATCAGTTAATTAGGTCCAGTCTAAAGATACAGGAAACAGCCTGTACGACATGTGTACGTTTAAATTGTTCCCTTTAGAGAACAGAGTGGCAGCTACAACTCTGCTTGCTCAATCAACTAACTTAACAGATGTGGTACCAAAAGAGTCACTCAGGTGAAAGCAGTAAATCTCCAGCAGCCAGGTGGCGCCATTCCAGTTTTGCCCAATCTTCCACTTCTGCTCTGAGTGTGACTAAACAGGTCTCCACACTGAAGTGGTCCAAAATAAATTCCCATTGAGGCAGTGTGGTGGCTGAGAGGGGCATTCTCACACAGGGACCCGGTTATGGGTCGGTGTGTGCATGGGATCCATTTTCTCTCTTTCTAAATAGGCTGATTCAGTCAGGAGGTAATCTGACCAGACCTGAGCATAAAATGGAGAGCAGTGACTCGCACACAGAGAGCAGTGTACTGGGAGGAGAGAAGTGTCCCATGAGGCCGTTATGAAACACACACACACAAATAATAAGCAGCCACACATCCCCCATATAAACTCAATTACACAATACCGTCCACACCAAGGCTCTGCCATCGTCATCTTGGACAGATTTCTTATATTGAGGCTCACTGTCAACTGTCTCAAAACTTTAACCTCACTTTAACCTGTAACTAACTCTCCAAAACTTCCCCCAAAAGGCCCCTTAAATGTGTGATTCTTCTTTAATTATTTGTGGGACACGAATGAGATTTGCACCAAATAAATGAATCAAATGATCAGCTGTATGGCTGATGAACGGAATAAAGTTTTTTTTAATGTACATGTCATGTCTTGATGTATGATCAGGCACAAATCACCATACACATGTTCGCACACACACTCTTCTCCTCTAGCACAGAGCATTCTCTGTTTCTCTGCCAACCCCGCAGACCTGCCCGCCTGCACACCAACAGATCCTCTTTCACTACAACTCCCCCAAGATATCACACTGAACTCCTTTCAAAAAAACAGCTCTAGAAAAAAAACACAAAAAAATGTGTCTCTCCCCCGGCACCTCAGATACATAAAGTAATAAAGGCTTGTGCCTGGGGGATGCTACGCATGCAGCATCATTGAGCGAAAGGCAGAGGAAAAGACATCTGCTCGTGATTTTGTGTTTATGAAAAGGAGAGGTAGCTTGATTTTTTTTCTCCTGAATTCTCTGAAATTTCTCCAGCACTTTTCTAGCTTGAGGTAATAAAGAAAAGTTCCTCTCTTGCGCTTGTCAGAAAACAGAAAGCAGAATTAGACACTATCCAAACATCACTACAGCAGAGCCAACAGTGAAGCAGGTCTATTGGATTGTATTACATCAGAAAACAGTTCCTGCTCCCCTGTCCCACCCAATCTGACATCACAGCCACATTGTGTGTGCTGGTGTGGTAACTGGCCACTTCTCCGCTGTGTGTACCACACCTCTGACTTAGGCAACATAAAAGGAGAAGGGCTGTCAGCTGTGCTTGTGAGAGAAAAGAAACTTGTAGACTGTGAAGCTATTATCCACTAATTGATTCACGAGGTGAGGAGGGAGGTTTCGTGACGAGCAAACAATAAAAACAACCAACTAGAAGAAATATTGTGTGAACTACCAAGAACCAACGGAAAGTTAGAGTTCAAGTGTCGCGGCTGCCTAAATTTTCTTCTAAAATTAAGATAAACTGTTAATTTGGTTCTTAAACCTCAATAAAATTCACCAGAGAGGTTTGGTGACAGGGTAAAAGACTACACCGACATATTATCACTTTATAAAGCTGATATGAACTTGTTAGTAAATAGTGGTTTATGTGAACACCAAGCAGACACACAGCAATATTAGCATTCAGTGTAAATCCAATACTCACTCTCCTTTTTGCTCTGTTTTTGGTCTCCACCATGTCCTGAGGGAAATATCTGCCGTTTTAATAAATAAAAGCTAGTCGCTTACTGCTAATTACTATACCTCGATCTGCTGCACAGTGAGGTCCAGGAAGGTGTTCTCGTTGCGGACACTGATCAGGCTCTTGGGGCCCTTGCATCCCATGCTGGTGCCCAGGCCTCCGTTCAGCTTCACCACCACCAGTTTGTTCAGGCTGTCAGCCACATTGTCCGGCAGGCCTCGAGCAGCGATCTTATCAAAGGGCTGGATCTGGAGGAGCGGGAGAAAAAGGCAGTCGGAGGGTCAGGGACACAGCAGGTTTACTTGTAAAGTGCCTTTAAAAAAAAAACCAACTTTACTGTTTTAGAACTGTTTCTCTAATTTGTGCAACGTGTTTATTACTGTGGTGTTTCTGCACTTCCATGAGACCACCTGTGAATCAACAGTTTAACAATTTAATGTCTATTTTTCTTGGATTTGACTGATTTGGCTGATTATTGCAAACAAGTTGCAAACGTTTTACCCAGGAAATGCAGCACAGAGACTTTAACAGCTTTGAGTGTGGGCTGATGAATTACCAGCTGAGCAATGTAATGGGCTGAATTGACACAGAAATGTGAAAATGTCACAAATTCTTCATTTATTCTGCAATTGGCTTTGAAACAAGAAAGGAAATGCTGCATGAAACAAAAAAGACACATCACACATTCTGTGGCATGTTTTTGAGTGAGTGGTGCAGATAATAGTAATTAGGATGACTTAATGCACAACACAGTCGGTTTCAAATGTAGTCTTCAGCACTTCTGTTGGCGAGGCAGCAAAATAATCATTGGAGTATGGTGTGTGTGTGTGTGTGTGTGTGAAGCCACACTACTCGATCAATACTACATTTCTCAGATCAGTGTATTCACACATCATGCATTGACTTCTTTAATTCTCTCCCACAGAGCAGGAAGGAGCGAAGGAAGGACATAAAAGAGGATGTGACCATCAAAAACAATAAAACTGTTGAACCAGGGTTTTTTAAGCTAAAAGTGAAACAGCAACAGGATTAGTTTCTCCTCAAATTTCATTCGGCTTGAATGAATTTTGTTCTTTCACAAGGCATTTTTTTTAAATGGACTTAGCAACTGCGAGTAATGAGCAGACACATCCAGAGATAGCAAATTCTAACCAGATGTTACAACAGCTTTTTGTTGTTATGAACAGAGTGAGCGTGACAGTGTTTAAGTTAAGCTCTGTGTGAGTTTGCATGCATTTTTCAAATAGGAATAAATGTGTCAGTGAGACAGTGTGTCTGAAGAGCGTGTGTGAGGAAATGAAAAGGCCATTATGGGTCCTGTCCTGCTAAAAGCACAGAGTCACCAATCAGTGACAGCAGACACAAGACAGACCCCCTGATTGAAGCGGCAGCCTCTCCACTGGTGTTTGCCCCACCCACGTACCCCTCCCTTCTACACTGACTCCTCACCCCCTCACCTCACACCACATCGAGGCTGAGGTTACAAATACAACAGACAACCTCGACCCAGCTGCCGCTCACTTTTCTGACTTTCACATGATCATCACGGAGAACAAAAGAAGTTTCATGGTCAGAGGTTGTAAAATGTGTTAACTGAGAAGAATGCGAATGAAAAGAACGCAGATGGATCATAAACGCTCACAGTTTACATAAATGAACGTACATGTTGACGGATACAAATCCCTGCAGGTACTGGAAAATAAAAAAAGATAGCCAGAAATTCAGAGGGAAGAGAGAGTCGTTTGTGTGTGTTTTCATACTGAGCGAAATGTTTTTCAGCTGGGATCCCCATCCTACCCCTGTACCCCTGGAGTTAAACAGATTCCACTCCCAGATGTTCATTTCCCTTTTTGCATGTGTGTGTGTCAGAGTGTGTGTGAGAGTGTCTGTGTTTATGTGTGTTCCCAGGTACTGCTTGCAGGGAACACCTATTTGGCCAGACTGCTGGATAAAACGACTTCTGTATTATTATTCTTTCATAAATCATCAGTTCTAGTGCAAACTGCAGTATACTGTTTTTACTTTGGCTGACAAGCAGCTGTCAGCTGAATGACTGAGCACCTGGAAGACACACAACACAAACATTTAATCTAGAGCAAAGAGAGCCCAGCAATAGATTATAGTTTTGGATTGACATAAATACACGCCAGGGGGATTCAAAACTGTTATACAACTAAAATATGGTTTGCACAACATGTTAATCAGCATCAGTGCAGAAGGGGAGATGTCTGCATGACTGGAGTCAAACTACACTGTTATCAAGTAAGCACAGACTCGATGGAACTGCATAACATAGTACAGTGGTTAGAAAGTTAGTGCACAGATCCCTGGATTGACAGAGGCCCTGGATTGAAGCTTATATGTGTTTTAATGTGTGAGTGACACTGAATTTCCCCTAATGCAGAGCTCACACACAGAGACACAATAAGAAAAAAAACATGTAACTGTGAGACAAATACCTACAGCTGATTCAGAAATGGCCCTCATATGATAGAACAAGAGCAACACACGACCTGTACCTCAAGTTTCTGAGCTTGGTTCTTTATTATTTACAATCTACAGTAACAATATCATTACTCCAATACAGATTTGCTGATAAAACTAAATGTGTTTTACTCTTGAAGAACCAGAATTCTCTTCCCACCATCAATCTTCAATCAGCTATCTCTATATATAGGTATTTGTTTAGACAGAAGTCTCAATTTTAAACCTTATGTGGAACAACTGCCAGGATTTTTGCTTTGAAGTCCTAAATCTATACTATAATGACCACAGGTCCATATTTATGGAAAAAGTACTCATTAAGGGTCGGTCCCATAAAGATTAGACTGTATAGCCGACACTGAGTGAGATTATTGTCTTTTGTGACACTTTCCACATTTGCATTTTGCCCACTCTCCCTCGTTCATTTATTTTTCTTTAATAATAAAAAACCCACCAATGTTGTCTCCGTCTTAAGATATTCAAGATGTGGCAAACCACAAACCTTTAAACAGCAGCACATTAAACAGCAGCTTTACAACAATGCAGGAAATTGTCTCCACCTCATTTCATCTGTTACTCACACATTTGTGTATTTATTTATTTGAAAACCCCATTTATCATTTATAAGCAGTATATATATGTATACACACACACATATACACACAAGATATATTGTTTACAAAACATCATACTGTGGTTATAACAATGGGTTATAAGCAGATATAAATGTTTATTAATGGAAAATATTTTCAACTATTAAAACTTCCCCTATGAAGACATATGCTCTATAATTACTACTGTGTTGTATCATGTTGTCATTCATTATAGTAAGTCATTTGTCTGATGTAATGCAGAACTATGGAACACATATCATCGCATTGAACATCAGTCTTTGGGACTAACTGGCCACAACCTGACCAGTTCAGATTTACATGACGAGGCATCGTTAAACCACCTCAATTGGTTGCTCAAAGGCTGAAATGCCAGTGTGCAATGAGTGACAACATATTAAAAACAGCAACACCTCCTAAATACCTGCTTTACCTTTATCAGATCCAAGAAGAAGAGGTTCATCTTAATCTCATTGACTGCAGGAGAGGTTTTACTGTCTGAGCTGACGGCATGAAGATCTTTCAGACGCTGTGTCTTCACTGCTAGATGCCACTAAATCCTACACACTGGTCCATTAAGTTTTGCTGTCCTCTGTTTATTAGTTGTATATGTGGACAGAAATGTCAGTCAAGATTCCCCAGTACCAGCTCCACCAATGTGTGATTGGGAAATTGTGATTGATATTTTTCACTATTTTCTGACAGTTTGTAGGCCTATCGATTAACTACGAAAAATAAAATAGATAATGAAAATCACTGTTACTTCAAGCCCTACACGGTATTTAAGTTGACCTTCCCTTGTCAAATCACAGTAAAAATTGAAGCACTGTAACTACAACTAAAAACAAAAGCTTCATCTCCAGCACTGTTCATCTGATATGGTTGAATCTCAGGTAAATACGTCTACACAACTTTAAGAATGACAAAAATATACCCATTAAATTACTGCTGCGGCAGGTCAGCCTGTCATCTCCACTAGTCGCAGTAGTGAGTGGGCATTCTGTCAAAACTGACTAAAAAGCTACTGAATAATGAGAGGAGATTTTAAATTCCAGTGGCCGTCTTTCGCAGGGGTTGTTAAAAAAAAATGTTTACTTTCCTTTCTCCTATTTCCTTTACTCTCCCTCACTGGGATAGGGTGCTGCCTCTTTACCCCATTTCCTTCATCTCACACACCCTCCCTGTTTCCCTATCTTATTACTGTGTGTCACTGTCATTTCCTATTTCATTTAATGTTCCCTGTTTCAGTACTTGTCTCACCACTTTCCTCTCCAAACCTCTAATCTTCTCCGTGCCTCTGTCTCTCTTTATGTAACTCTCAATTTCACTGTAAAGCCTCCTCTTCTCCCAATTCATTCATCTTTTGCTGCTCCTCTCTCCATCTTTAATCTTCTCCATCTCTCTCTCTCTCTCTCCAGCTTCGTAAAAATAAATGAGGTGGCTGAGAATTGTGGAGTGATGCAGTTACTATTCACTACAGGGCCGAGGAGAAGAAGACAGATCCGGCTTTGTGTGTTTGGTTAAAGAGTCCAATGCCGGGCGAGCAACTGAAAAAGTTTTGTCAATGTTCAGTGAGACAGAAACAAACATGGGCAACAAATGCCTGACAGAAACATCTCTGGCATGAAACCGGTTGAACATGTGTGATTTAGTTGGAAAGAAAATTTAGAGCACATGTTGTATTTCCTAGAAGGTAACAACACCCTATTGGGCATCAAATCTTTAATTAAACTTGCAGAGCTAACAATTAGGGAACGTCAAGAACTACAGGTTCACTTACTTGGGCACACCTTAGTGTACTGGCAACCTTTATATAGACCCAGAATTCTGTTTATTACTTTTATCTATTATCGTCTAATGTGATCATATATTATGTTTATACTTTTCACAGCTACTTACAGTGAATTTAACAGGATAAATGAACCTCAATGCTCAGCAGCAGAATCACTAGACAGGAGCCAGAAAAATATATAAGAGTGCAGCAGTCAAAAGAAACGTGTGCTTGAAATTAAAAGTTTTTTGCCACCCTTTAAAGTGTCCCTTAGTTGCAACTAATGACTTTATTAATGTTAACTATTTACTAATGCTCTATAGATCAGTTATAACTGGCCATTAACTTACTAACTTGACTGAGCCCACCTCTTTCTCCTTCTCTCTCTCCCCCTCTCTAAACCCAACTGGTCGAGGCAGACGGCCGCCCACCTACAGCCGGGGTCTGGTCGAGGTTTTCTCTTAAAAGGAAGTTTTTCCTTGCCACTGTTGCCAAGTGCTTGCTCATGGTGGGAATTGTTCGGTATAAATAATTCTATAAGGAGTACAGTCTATACCTGCTCTATATGAAAAGTGTACTGAGATAACTAATGACTATAACGGTTATGATTTGGCACTAACAAAATAAAACTGAATCAATGGTGTCTTATTGGAAAGTGTTAATAGAAAGAGGTTTCAAAAGAATTTCACAGATTCAATTCACAGGAAAGCCCATGTAGTAATTCAATACAGCCTGTGGAACCTCCCACAGGGTCCAAAGATCACTAGTGTCGCACAACAATTAAAATGAATGAAAGAAAAATAAATAATTTTACAAAACTAGGTTTTTCATGACTTTCACCTTTCAGCTCTCCAACAAATCCTTCAAATGAACACAAGCAGACACTGCCTGATTTTAAGGTGTCAAATTTTCAAAAGGTTGAGAATCACTGCTTTAGTAATTTACTATCACTTTCAAATTTACTACAGCTTCCTGATAAAGTGTTTGCCTCAGCCTGTCTGTAATCTGATCTTACCCCTTAATAATTCACAGCTGCAGTGTTTTCAGTTTTCTTGTGAGTCATACTTTCTACCATCACAACAAAATAAAAAATACATAAAGGATTAACCCAATCTTCATTTGAAAAACCACACCACTCCAGTGAGACAATAAACAAGGACAAAAAACTGATTTACTTCACAGTTAATTAAAAAGTAAATGATTATATATATTTTGTGGGTTTTTGTTTCATTTTTTTCCCAAGTTAGTAAGCAAGTCGTTAAACATTTAATGAAGGCCACACCCATAATACTTTAGTGCTTCACCTTATCTGCACGGATTATGCCAACAACCAGTCTCAGTCTACTAAAGACAAAGCTGGAACTTTCTCAGGGTTTGAAATGGAGCCAGCAAACCAACCCTCAGACTCAATGTACTTCTGCTGCTCCCTTTACTTACTGGCTGTTCAAGTGCTGCATCTGACTGCTCAACATTTTGACTGACACAAAACACTGCGTTCAGACTTCAAAGATCCTCCCTTGAGATCAAGCCAAATCAGATAAGTTTGCACTTTCTTTTTTACTCTGTTAAACCTTGTACTTTGATGTCCACACAACATGGAAGCCCAGTGTTCAGGAAACTGAAAGAGAGCACTGAGAGCATCCCTTGTGACTGAAAACTAAGGAAGACCTACAAAATGTGCTTTTTCAGTAGAGGAGAACAAGGATATCCTGCACAGGCAACTCAAAGAAACACTGACTTGGCACTTTGATTGACTTTGTAAGTGACCGACCCACAGCACCATCAAAAGGAAACTTAGACTTCGGCGGTTTGCTGCCAGGAGGATAGTTAATAGTTAATGTACAGTCTACAAAGGTCTACTGTAAGTAATGACTGCTGGAACATTTAGTTTACCTGAAACTCACAGTAGCAATATCTGAAGGCAATGTTACTAACACTGATATTGTATATGCAACTGAGATGATACACTGAGAATAAAAACACTGGAATCACCTCCTGAGCACTGAGTTATGATCAGTGTTCCACAAATAATGTGTCAAATGTCTTGTACTTTAATAATCTACCTTTTAACCTGATTAATCTGAATTTATTGTACTGTAAATCATCTCTCTGTGGCTCTGCGTGTTGAAAATGAAACTGCAGCTTATTATACTGTGTCACTCATAGGACGCTCTGAATAACATCAGCTAGTGTGTCACTTTATCATTGGAAACGCCAGCGGGAATCAAATCCTCATGACAATGTCACTGTTGTGGTCTTGCCATCAAACAGTACTGTTCATGACTTGCTAATATTTCCATCAATATTCCCCATGGCACTTGGATGGAACAAAAATAGCAAGGGACAATGGACACGTTGTCCCATCTGTCATGCAACTGACCCATTCGAATCCCCTTTCTAGACAGTGCTGTAACAGTCGAGGTGTATGGTTTAGGTGTCTGGTTTAGGTGTCTATTGAGTGGTACAGGTTTTAAGAAGACAAGGGGGAATTGTATTAAACCAAATGCTGTTACTGAGTCAAGTTACACGCATGTCATTTAATCCAAGTGTTGAGTTGAGAGAAACTGTACATTTCATGCAAAAATGTTTCCAGATTTAAGTGTTTTTTGTTTTAAAGTTCATCAGCATCCCAAAAATATTAAAATTCCCTGGCCATTGCTATGAGTGTGGAACTGGTTTAACCACCATTTGTTATACAATGCACCTCTTTCAGTGTGTTATGGGCTTCAAAAGTGACACACTGATACAACTTAGTTATCAGCTTATTCATCAGTTTACTGCACTTAAATTCATTATTTTAGCAGTGTGTATGCAAAACCAGAAATGATATACATGCTTATGAGTAAGTGCATATAGAGCAGGGAAGTGAGATCCAATTACAAGTGAAGAAGCATGTGGAGACGCATTCTAATGTCAGGTGTGAACTGACGTACTTATCACTTATGATCACCCAAGATGCATGTTAATGCTAGGTGTGAACTCTTCCTGAGACAAATAAAACTCAAAAACAAGAGTCAAGTGAAGACATAAGAAAAAAAATACTTTCAATTGTTGCATAACATCCCTATCTTATGTAATGCTTACACTTACTTAAATGTAGAAGGTAACATAAGCCCTTAAGGTGTCAACGAATTACAATTACAAAAAACGGCTATAATAACTCTACATGAAGTTGTGTTGTTGTGTTGAAGTGTGGTGGCAGGTATAAACCGCAGGATGTAGTAACACTGTTTGATGTCATGTAATCTTATCAGTAAAGCTACTTTTCAGGTCAAACAAGCCATAAATGAGTTGTAATTGGCACATACTTCCTTCTGTCAAATTCAGTCCTGTTTTATGTTGTATTTCCAGTTGGTACAAAGTGTCCATATGTTTTTATGATTGAAACATTATTAAATTAAATGGGATATCACTGCTGTCGGTTTAAAATCTTGACATCATATACTGTACAAACTCCAATCCCCTGTTGGCCTGTAATCAGTGTCTGTATATAGAGTATCTTTATTGCTCTGAGTCGTACAAAGTGAAGCAACATCCACAATGAAAAGAAAATGAAGACGAAGTGAAGAAGAAAGGAGTATCAACGAGCGCCATTTCATTTTTCAAACTGAACTGTGTTTGGTGTCATCTTGTTTGATGCTTCTGATGCTTCAGCTTCAGCTTGAAGTTGGGCTCTGTTTCATGAATCATGACAGCTCATCATGATGAGTGACAGGTTCTAGGATGGTAGTTTGATCATCTGAGTCTGGGACTAAAAACACATCACTGACTCAAGGTGACAAGCGGCATATGGTTGGTTTCATTTTAAATATGAACATGCTAGGTGTTCAAAGGTCAAATTTGATTGACACAATTGGTTTACACCTATGTCACAATAATTCAAGTAACAAGTATTTCTCTGTAGCTCAGATCACCAAATCGCAGCCTCCACATTCACTACAATTGGAGTTGAGACACAGCGGGCCAATCCAACAAAAATATTTAAACTCGAGCAAAATACATTGCGTTGACCAGTCAAATACATGTTGCTCACCTTGTAATGTGAGCAGCGTCATTCTACTGTATTAAATTCTATCTTGCAATCGTTGAGAATGAGGATAAAATAATTTTTAAGGTTTTGATCATTTTATAAGCCATATACATGGCTTATACATGTATCCACAGCGATGTGCCTCCACTAATGCAGCCCGTTGGTTGGAAGTTATTTCTGTTTTGTATTGGATGTTAATTACTTCTTGGTAAGTTTTTATGATTGCTTTCTGGCTTAGTGTTCTCCTGACAAGACAGTACAACAGACAGTGTGTGTATGTTTGGCTTAATCCTTTTGTGTACTTTGCAAAACATGAACTGGAAAAATTTACATTTTATCATTATATTAGTGTTTATTTTAGTACATAAGTACATTTGCACAGACGGGCAACAAAAACCTCAACAAACTAGACTTACCGAATCTTCTGGAGGTCTTTGTATCTTGATCCACTCCACTGATGGACCCTTCACCTGCAGAAATCTGTGGAAAAGATTCTTGAAGCCTTCGAAGTCTTTCCTTGACACCTGAAAAACACAAGGATTTCACTTCAACCTTTATTCACCACAAAAAGGCAGTACGAGGTTTACAGTCTTAAATCACTTGTTCAGAAAGATTAAAAATATACTATTTTGATATTGATGTTTGATATTTTGATTATTAAAAGTGGACATAGTCTCTGTGACATCACCAATAGGTTTCTGAGGAGCCGTTGACAATTTGGTAGCTCTGGCTGTTGCCATAATGGCAGTCCTGACTGCGCGGGCTCCTGGCTAACCCAAAAATGAGCAAATACGTGGTGCTGAGGCCGGCTGAATATAACCTGGTTACTGAAAACAAGCATCTGTAACAGTACCCACCTCGTCCCTCAAAGCAGCCATGCCCTTAATTATGATTAATTTTAAGATTTTAATTTCTTGATATAGTATAAACAGGTGAGTACATAAAAATGGGGGACAGGGAATTTAGCGAGAGAAACCAAAAACGTTTTTTTCACTAGGCTGTAAACATAATTATTTCTGCTGTAAAGTTGAGCATTTTAAAACCGGGCTTATGGCGCCTCAAGTGGCTGTTTGTGGAACTGTTTTTGTTACGTCCATGTTGGTTTCATTTGTCAGCCATGGAGATTGCTAGATGACTGTTCATTCAGCATCAGTTATTTCAGAACTGGAGAGTATTCTTCTGAAAGAAGAGCAGGGAACAGAACTGAAGGCTTTTCTCCATGTAAAATATGTTTTCTAAGACTAATTGTACTTTAATAGTCCCCACCTAAAGTTTATCATAATTTTATTTTTATTAAAAAGCCAAGAAGCTGTGGTGGCATCTTATCCAAGTACAGGACCTGAAAACAAAAGTCGATCTTCCATGCAATCCTTGATTGTCATCCAATAGCTGTGAATCCCAGAACATTTTCAAAACACATGATAGTGGTTTGCTTTCACAGACCCACAGCCTCTCCAGCATGCTGTCTGCTGACCCGTAGACTGTTTCAATGCTGGCGTTACAAAGTCTCTGACCATATTTTTCCTATTAAGCTCTCTCCAAGTCAGTGAGTTGGTTGATATCCATTCTTTATCGATTATATTTTTCCCACTCTTCCATTGATATTGCAAAGTTTCCCTCGCTTTACCACTTTCCTTTTATGTAAGAAGTATTTACCCGCTTAGTTCTTGCAATTTCTTGTACAGTTTAGAAATAGTTTTGAGACTGGTCAGCTCTGTATGCTGAAATAAAAACCTTTAATACTCCAAACCCAGAATTTCTTCTTTATTATTTTCTCAATGTGATGTATTAGCTGTAGAAATCTGAAGAAATATTGTTTAGCCAGGCCATATTGGTCTCTCAAACCTTAGAAACTTCTAAGTGAGAATTTCTCAAAGTAATCAAAATAAATAGTTAGCCCTCGCTCCTGCCATGGTTTGAAGCTTGTATCTAGCCTGTTTGGGGTAAATCCTGGATCGTCAGCCACCCAGCAGATTAATGGGTAGTGTTCCTGGGACCCAAAGGACTTATCCACTTTAAACCAAGGTTTGAGTGAAAGATCTAAACATGAGTTGGGGATTTCACTCAGGTGGTGTTTCAGTTCACTGTCTCTAACAATGGCCCAAAGTTGGACCTTAACTGAGTTCTGGCATTCAATTGACTTCCATGTTGCTGAGTAGTCAGGGTTACATATATTTATCAAGGGTTTAATCTGAGCTGCTTGATAGTAGGTTTTCAGGCAGGGGAGCACCCTTTACTCCTAGAAAGCTGAAGGGGTTTTTGTATCTAACTGTTGGTTTCTTTCCCTGCTAAAGGAATCTTGAAATCGGCCTGTCCTACTCAACCAAGTTATCTGGGATATCCACCGGTAGTGTTTGGAACAAATACAGTAGCCTTGGGCGAATGTTAATTTTACACATATAATATATATATAATTATATATTATATATATGAAACTTCTATTGCGTCACTTAAGGAAAGTAATAAATGGTAAAAAAAACAAATGACCTGAAAACATTTAAAATATAAATGTGGTTTTGGTTATATGTAATCACACATGAGGATAAACTTCTATTTGCTGAAGCAGTCGCTGCAGCTAAACATGTATGTTTACTGAGTGATAAATTATACAATGAAATGGATGCACTAAGCAATATGAGAAGCTGCTGAACAAGCTCTACTATACTTCAGCTGGCATGTTTGATAATATGGATCAATAATTACAGAACTACCTTTGTTCAGCTGGGATAATAATCATTTCCAAGTGTGATATTGATTTCTTTATCTGTACTGAGTATATATTATATATTTATTTCCTTGGGTGTATATGTATATAAATAACTGTATATATTGATTTATTTTTTATGTCATATAATTTTCATGATCTTTTTCGATGTATATAACATGAAGGAACTACAAACATTCATTTTGCTATACAACCTTGTGTTGTATCATTGATTCCTTGATATAACTATAAATACTATATAGTATAGTGTAGCTACCAGATTATGCAGTAAAATTGGAAACACAAGATGATTTCACAAACCCCTAATGATTTATTTATAATATCTTATCTCCATAATTTAGTGATTTGCATTCTGAGTTTTGTTATTAGTTTTTATAGGAAAAATGACACATGGTATTTCAATATTTAAGATGCAGTTTAAAGTTGTGAAAAATTGTAATAATTTATTTCAAATATGTATCAAAAAACAAAGAAATATATAACTATTCACGCTGACATCCATTCACACCGGGACCCAGTTCAACCAGCTTAGAATTTGTGTGTGTACTCTACAGACGTGTGTGTGCACATGGATGTTAATGCTTACTGCAAGTACATGAATACCCTCGAGTGAGTGAGTATGAAGTAACGGCCACGCCTGTGTTGACAGGCTGACCTTTTTACTCTGTGTATCGTCACATCTTTTGTGATTGCTGGTGGTTTGAGAGTGCCTGGTTAATGTCTGAAAGTGTGTGTGTTCATTCAACCAAAGGAAACTCAAAGAACACAGATTAAATAATGGTCAGTCTAGCTTTTTTGCTGCTTTTTATGGGACAGTTTTTTTATTTAATTTTCTGATGTAGGCTGAGATGTGTCCACTCCCAACACCAGACTTCAGGTTGTCCCAACAGAACAAATCTACAGGGTTTCAGTTGGGCTGAAAGTCTCTAATGACGCATTATATTCTGATTCAGGCTGACGAAATGGATGAATGTTTGCTCAGAAGTCTCCCCTACTGCAATTTTATGACGCATACTTTATGCGTGCGTGTGTGTGTGTGCGTCTGTAAGCACGTATGTGGAACCCCTTATTGGCACTGTGCTACAGTATGTGTCACTTTTGTGTTTTGAGTGACCCAACCACCCTCTAAATCACAACCAGATGGTCAGAGAGAAAGAGAGGGAGGGAGAGATAGAGTACCTCTCTCTCCGCCTCGTCTGTGGTGGTGTCCAGCAGTTTCTCCAGCTCGGTGTGCATGGAGCTCTCCAGCTGCTGCCGCATCATTTCCTGGAACTGAGCCATCCCTACTTTGGCCACTCCTTTACTCAGACCTGGACAGGCAAGATAGTGGAAGATGGGGGACAAGGTTTTACACCGCTGCAACATACTTCACAAACATATTCTGGATCCTCGAAATGTTCCTAACGCCCACCTTTACCCGTCTTATTAACTCAAGCCATCTGTTTTAGCCCTGTCTGCCACTGAATAAAGCTATAAAAGTGCTTTTTTTGTGTACTGGATTACTGAATGTCTGATATTCTCCTAGAAAAATCTAAAGTACACAACAACAATAGTACATAAAATGTAATCTAGAGATGCAAAGATGAATTCATCAAAAAATCCTTGGCAATCATTGGATAATCAAAGAATCAGTTGATAGTTTTGGGCTCCTTCATGTGAGAATTTGCAGCTTTTCTTCATCTCACAGAATTGTAAATGTAAAACGTTTGGCTTTTGGACTGTTTGTCGGACATTATAGGACAATGGATGACGTAAGCTTGAGCTTTATGATATTGTGATAATCTTTTTCATTGTTTTCTGATATTTTAAGGGCCAACTCAATAAAATAATCAACAGATTAATCAAAAGTGAAAATAAATGCTAGTTGCACCCCTAACAACATTTTCAATAGCCTGATTTATCATCTAACCTTAGTGAAGATGTAGAATGTATGTTCTCATATCATGGTAGTATTATATGTATACTAGTAGTATTTGTCAGTATGCATATTACTACAGTGCAGGAAATAACACAATAACACTTGAGAGGGTCGCTGTCATTCTTATAATTAATTGTGATGTAACTGATGTATAGGATAATTTTAGCATCTGTTCACGAGCAACAACATACCCACCCATACATACACACATAACACATAAATATTGCATGAGTCACATTTTAAAACATAGATAAGCTTACAAACTGGAGAAACAGGAAAAATAAAAACCCAAATAGCTGTTTGTGACATTGATTATAGATGTGTATCCCAGAGGCACATTTGAGTTTCTTAAGAGGGGTTTTTAGTCTAGTTTACATCTATTAAAACAATACATATTAGCATTATTAGATCATTGCAGTATAAAAATGACAAAGATATTTTTAGGGTAGTTAAGAAACAGGGTCACCATTCCAGTATGTCCACAAGGTCAATCAAATCAAATCTTCAAATTTTCAACATTAAAGGCATCCTTATCTGTAAAATGGTCTATGATGTGTGTTTTTAGATCAGATCTTTGCAAATCTTAAATATCAATTTCAAGTGTTGGCCTAAAAAAAAAAAAAAAAACTAAAGATAAAAATTAAAGCAAGCAAAAGCAAAATGTTGAACTGCTCTGAAGTTACCACAGCTGTGCCAACATGACTGGTAATCTCTGAATAATTATATCCGTAAACAAGCCAACTATCACGAACAGATTCACTGCTTGGAAAGTAAAATGTGACACATTCACCTGAAAGTAATAATCAAGTTCGAAGTCACGTGAGACAGTTTGGATGTGACAATAGAATAACAAAAAAATGTGAATGACTGAAACCTGTTGAGCCTGATCGTTTTTCTGTGGGGTGCTGGATTCAGGTTTTGATTAGACCTAAATGTTCCTATGATCAAAAATACAAAATAAGTCTGGTTGCCTTTAAAGGGTAATGAGTGAAATGTTGAATATTATGCTATAATACAATAATAACACCACTGATATTAAGACACACTGCATGATGTTGGATGATATCGAGAGAAAGGCTTTATCTGCAATATTTTAAAAAGGTAAAAATATTCTATCGATAGGAGAGGGAGAGTGTGAGAGACCTTGAGCGTCACCACACGGCTATGATGAGTATGTGGCGTGGTATTTAATGCTTTGATGTTTTTACTGTCAGTTCAGTGCTTCGAGCACTCAGACAAAAATAACAATAGGAAACTAACCTTACTGGTAAAATGAGATGAGACAAATACCACATCACAATGTAAAAGTATTTCAGAAGTCCTGGTTAAGCTCCTGATGTAGACAGTAAGAGTTTAAATTCTGTTTTTGTCATCAAAAACCAGCTAACTGCTGTGGTAGTTCTAGATGACCTATGATCAATAGATTATTAAAAGCGTTTGAGAAGCTGTATCCTTTATTCAATTACTTAATGGATAAACTACATTAAAAAGGTCCAGTGTGGAGGATTTAGTGCCATCTAGCAGTGAAGCTGCAGATTGCAACTAACTGAACACCGATCACGTTTGTATTTGATGACCTGGGAATGAGAGCGGCCTGC